TATTTTAGAAAGTAATTGATGTTCATATGGGAATAAACACAATAACGATAGGTATTTTCAATATTAGAGAAAAATGTATGAAAAAGTGAAAATTTCTATTCTTGGCACGCGTGTAGAGCTCGTCGGACTAAATATATTATGGTTGTACGACTACACATCCACACGAAACAGGGAATTTGGAAATTTAAATGTATAATTTTTTAAATTTTCTTTGTTTTATCTAGTCGATTTCATTTAGCAGCAGCAACAACATAACACATTTAATTCGATGAAGTGCCAAAAGAAGAAACGCATCAAAAGAACTTTGTCATACATTTTCCACTTTGTCATTCGTTTTTCCTATATATATATATATATATATATATATATATATATATATATATATATAATTAATATATATATATATGAAAATTTCTCCGATTTAATCGGTAGAGAAGACAATATTTATGAATAAAAATGACAATAGGAAAACTGGTAATTGCTGACGCGTTTCGTCCAATGTGGACTTTATCAAAGCAAAATACGAAAATGAAATTAAATGAACAACGTAACTAATAAAACAAAAACAGAATGTACATAGCAACTGAAATGTAGAGAAACGCTATTTTCATATTTTTTAAATGAAAAATGACGTCAGAGATTGTCACGTGTGGAGAATATTGTCATTATATCTGTGTTGATGTATTCAACCATTTTCTTTCGATTTTATGAATCTGTTGTGCATATTTGTTTGTAAGAGCATTAATTTTGTTAAGCAAGGTGAAATAGGGAAAAAGCCTGGGCGTAAATTAATATTTGGATAATTTTCAATGGCGGCACTCTCCAGAATTTTCCTTCTGAGTGAGTTATTTTCTTTTTTTATGAGTGTAGCATTTTCAAAATCAAAATTATGGTTGTATTTATTTCTATGTATGACTATTGCATTAGCTAAGTTGTTTTTTGTGAGGTCTCTTTTGTGCTCATAAATGCGTTTTTTCAAACTTCTCAGAACAGAAGCCCCAAATCAGTAGCCCCAAAAGAGAAGCCCCAAATCAGTAGCCCTAACAATAGAAGCCCAATATCAGAAGCCCCAAATCAGAAGGCCTAAAACAGAAGCCTCAAATCAGAAGCCCCGAAACACAAGCCCCAAATCAGAAGACCCGAAACAGAAGCCCCAAAACAGAAGCCCCAAATCAGAAGCCCCGAAAGAGAAGCCCCAAATCAGAAGCCCCGAAACAGAAGCCCCAAATCTGAAGCCCCAAAACAGAAGGACCAAAACAGAAGCCTCAAAACAGAAGCCCCAAATCAGAAGCCCCGAAACAGAAGCCCCAAATCAGTAGCCCTAAATCAGAAGCCTCAAATCAGTAGCCCTAAAGCAGAAGCCCAAGATCAGTAGCCCTAAAAATAGAAGCCCCAGAACAGAAGCCCCAAACCAGAAGCCCCGAAACAGAAGCCCTAAATCAGAAGCCCCAAATCAGAAGGCCCAAAACAGAAGCCCCAAATCAGAAGCCCCGAAACAGAAGCCCCAAATCAGAAGCCCCGAAACAGAAGCTCCAAAACAGAAGCCCCAAATCAGCAGCCCCAAAACAGAAGCCTCAAAACAGAAGCCCCAAATCAGTAGCCCCAAAAGAGAAGCCCCAAATCAGTAGCCCTAACAATAGAAGCCCCATATCAGAAGCCCCAAATCAGAAGGCCTAAAACAGAAGCCCCAAATCAGAAACCCCTGAAACAGAAGCCCCAAATCAGAAGCCCTGAAACAGAAGCCCCAAAACAGAAGCCCCAAATCAGCAGCCCCAAAACAGAAGCCTCAAAACAGAAGCCCCAAATCAGCAGCCCCAAAAGAGAAGCCCCAAATCAGTAGCCCTAACAATAGAAGCCCCATATCAGAAGCCCCAAATCAGAAGGCCTAAAACAGAAGCCCCGAAACAGAAGCCCCGAAACAGAAGCCCCAAATCAGAAGCCCCGAAAGAGAAGCCCCAAATCAGTAGCCCCGAAACAGAAGCCCCAAATCAGAAGCCCCAAATCAGAAGGCCCAAAACAGAAGCCCCAAATCAGAAGCCCCGAAACAAAAGCCCCAAATCAGAAGCCCCGAAACAGAAGCTCCAAAACAGAAGCCCCAAATCAGCAGCCCCAAAACAGATGCCTCAAAACAGAAGCCCCAAATCAGTAGCCCCAAAAGAGAAGCCCCAAATCAGTAGCCCTAACAATAGAAGCCCCATATAAGAAGCCCCAAATGAGAAGGCTTAAAACAGAAGCCCCAAATCAGAAGCCCCAAAACAGAAGCCCTGAAACAGAAGCCTCAAATCAGAAGCCCTGAAACAGAAGCCCCAAAACAGAAGCCCCAAATCAGCAGCCCAAAAACAGAAGCCTCAAACAGAAGCCCCAAATCAGTAGCCCCAAAAGAGAAGCCCCAAATCAGTAGCCCTAACAATAGAAGCCCCATATCAGAAGCCCCAAATAAGAAGGCCTAAAACAGAAGCCCCAAATCAGAAGCCCTGAAACAGAAGCCCCAAATCAGAAGCCCCGAAACAGAAGCCCCAAAACAGAAGCCCCAAATCAGCAGCCCCAAAACAGAAGCCTCAAAACAGAAGCCCCAAATCAGCAGCCCCAAAAGAGAAGCCCCAAATCAGTAGCCCTAACAATAGAAGCCCCATATCAGAAGCCCCAAATCAGAAGGCCTAAATCAGAAGCCCCAAATCAGTAGCCCTAAAGCAGAAGCCCCAAATCAGTTGCCCTAAAAATAGAAGCCCCAAAACAGAAGCCCCAAAACAGAAGCCCCGAAACAGAAGCCCCAAACCAGAAGCCCCGAAACAGAAGCCCCAAATCAGAAGCCCCAAATCAGAAGCCCCGAAACAGAAGCTCCAAAACAGAAGCCCCAAAACAGAAGCCCCAAATCAGAAGCCCCAAATCAGCAGCCCCAAAACAGATGCCTCAAAACAGAAGCCCCAAATCAGTAGCCCCAAAAGAGAAGCCCCAAATCAGTAGCCCTAACAATAGAAGCCCCATATCAGAAGCCCCAAATCAGAAAGCCTAAAACAGAAGCCCCAAATCAGAAGCCCCGAAACAGAAGCCCCAAAACAGAAGCCCCAAATCAGAAGCCCCGAAACAGAAGCCCCAAATCAGAAGCCCTGAAACAGAAGCCCCAAAACAGAAGCCCCAAATCAGCAGCCCAAAACAGAAGCCTCCCAAAACAGAAGCCCCAAATCAGTAGCCCCAAAAGAGAAGCCCCAAATCAGTAGCCCTAACAATAGAAGCCCCATATCAGAAGCCCCAAATCAGAAGGCCTAAAACAGAAGCCCCAAATCAGAAGCTCCGAAACAGAAGCCCCAAATCAGAAGACCCGAAACAGGAGCCCCAAAACAGAAGCCCCAAATCAGAAGCACCGTAAGAGAAGCCCCAAATCAGAAGCCCCGAAACAGAAGCCCCAAATCTGAAGCCCCAAATCAGAAGGACCAAAACAGAAGCCTCAAAACAGAAGCCCCAAATCAGAAGCCCCGAAACAGAAGCCCCAAATCAGAAGCCCCGAAACAGAAGCCCCAAATCAGTAGCCCTAAAGCAGAAGCCCCAAATCAGTAGCCCTAAAAATAGAAGCCCCAGAACAGAAGCCCCAAACCAGAAGCCCCGAAACAGAAGCCCCAAATCAGAAGCCCCAAATCAGAAGGCCCAAAACAGAAGCCCCAAATCAGAAGCCCCGAAACAGAAGCCCCAAATCAGAAGCCCCGAAACAGAAGCCCCAAAACAGAAGCCCCAAATCAGCAGCCCCAAAACAGAAGCCTCAAAACAGAAGCCCCAAATCAGTAGCCCCAAAAGAGAAGCCCCAAGTCAGTAGCCCTAACAATAGAAGCCCCATATCAGAAGCCCCAAATCAGAAGGCCTAAAACAGAAGCCCCAAATCAGAAGCTCCGAAACAGAAGCCCCAAATCAGAAGACCCGAAACAGAAGCCCCAAAACAGAAGCCCCAAATCAGAAGCCCCGAAACAGAAGCCCCAAATCAGAAGCCCCGAAACAGAAGCCCTAAATCTGAAGCCCCAAATCAGAAGGACCAAAACAGAAGCCTCAAAACAGAAGCCCCAAATCAGAAGCCCCAAATCAGTAGCCCTAAAGCAGAAGCCCCAAATCAGTAGCCCTAAAAATAGAAGCCCCAGAACAGAAGCCTCCAAACCAGAAGCCCTGGAAACAGAAGCCCCAAATCAGAAGCCCCAAATCAGAAGGCCTAAAACAGAAGCCCCAAATCAGAAACCCTGAAACAGAAGCCCCAAATCAGAAGCCCTGAAACAGAAGCCCAAAAACAGAAGCCCCAAATCAGCAGCCCCAAAACAGAAGCCTCAAAACAGAAGCCCCAAATCAGCAGCCCCAAAAGAGAAGCCCCAAATCAGTAGCCCTAACAACAGAAGCCCCATATCAGAAGCCCCAAATCAGAAGGCCTAAAACAGAAGCCCTGAAACAGAAGCCCTGGAAACAGAAGCCCCAAATCAGAAGCCCCGAAAGAGAAGCCCCAAATCAGTAGCCCCGAAACAGAAGACCCAAATCAGAAGCCCCAAATCAGAAGGCCCAAAACAGAAGCCCCAAATCAGAAGCCCCGAAACAAAAGCCCCAAATCAGAAGCCCTGGAAACAGAAGCTCCAAAACAGAAGCCCCAAATCAGCAGCCCCAAAACAGATGCCTCAAACAGAAGCCCCAAATCAGTAGCCCCAAAAGAGAAGCCCCAAATCAGTAGCCCTAACAATAGAAGCCCCATATAAGAAGCCCCAAATGAGAAGGCCTAAAACAGAAGCCCCAAATCAGAAGCCCCAAAACAGAAGCCCCGAAACAGAAGCCCCAAATCAGAAGCCCCGAAACAGAAGCCCCAAAACAGAAGCCCCAAATCAGCAGCCCAAAAACAGAAGCCTCAAAACAGAAGCCCCAAATCAGTAGCCCCAAAAGAGAAGCCCCAAATCAGTAGCCCTAACAATAGAAGCCCCATATCAGAAGCCCCAAATAAGAAGGCCTAAAACAGAAGCCCCAAATCAGAAGCCCCGAAACAGAAGCCCCAAATCAGAAGCCCCGAAACAGAAGCCCCAAAACAGAAGCCCCAAATCAGCAGCCCCAAAACAGAAGCCTCAAAACAGAAGCCCCAAATCAGCAGCCCCAAAAGAGAAGCCCCAAATCAGTAGCCCTAACAATAGAAGCCCCATATCAGAAGCCCCAAATCAGAAGGCCTAAAACAGAAGCCCCAAATCAGAAGCCCCGAAACAGAAGCCCCAAATCAGAAGACCCGAAACAGAAGCCCCAAAACAGAAGCCCCAAATCAGAAGCCCCTGAAACAGAAGCCCCAAATCAGAAGCCCTGAAACAGAAGCCCCAAATCTGAAGCCCCAAATCAGAAGGACCAAAACAGAAGCCTCAAAACAGAAGCCCCAAATCAGAAGCCCCGAAACAGAAGCCCCAAATCAGTAGCCCTAAATCAGAAGCCCCAAATCAGTAGCCCTAAAGCAGAAGCCCCAAATCAGTAGCCCTAAAAATCGAAGCCCCAGAACAGAAGCCCCAAACCAGAAGCCCCGAAACAGAAGCCCCAAATCAGAAGCCCCAAATCAGAAGGCACAAAACAGAAGCCCCAAAACAGAAGCCCCGAAACAGAAGCCCCAAATCAGAAGCCCCGAAACAGAAGCCCCAAAACAGGAGCCCCAAATCAGCAGCCCCAAAACAGAAGCCTCAAAACAGAAGCCCCAAATCAGTAGCCCCAAAAGAGAAGCCCCAAATCAGTAGCCCTAACAATAGAAGCCCCATATCAGAAGCCCCAAATCAGAAGGCCTAAAACAGAAGCCCCAAATCAGAAGCCCCGAAACAGAAGCCCCAAATCAGAAGACCCGAAACAGAAGCCCCAAAACAGAAGCCCCAAATCAGAAGCCCAGAAAGAGAAGCCCCAAATCAGAAGCCCCGAAACAGAAGCCCCAAATCTGAAGCCCCAAAACAGAAGGACCAAAACAGAAGCCTCAAAACAGAAGCTCCAAATCAGAAGCCCCGAAACAGAAGCCCCAAATCAGTAGCCCTAAATCAGAAGCCCCAAATCAGTAGCCCTAAAGCAGAAGCCCCAAATCAGTAGCCCTAAAAATAGAAGCCCCAGAACAGAAGCCCCAAACCAAAAGCCCTGAAACAGAAGCCCCAAATCAGAAGGCCCAAATCAGAAGGCCCAAAACAGAAGCCCCAAATCAGAAGCCCCTGAAACAGAAGCCCCAAATCAGAAGCCCTGAAACAGAAGCCCCCAAAACAGAAGCCCCAAATCAGAAGGCCCAAAACAGAAGCCCCAAATCAGAAGCCCTGAAACAGAAGCCCCAAATCAGAAGCCCTGAAACAGAAGCCCTGAAACAGAAGCCCCAAATCAGAAGGCCCAAAAGAAGCCCTGAATCAGAAGCCCTGAATCAGAAGCCCCAAATCAGAAGCCCCGAAACAGAAGCCCCAAATCAGAAGCCCCGAAACAGAAGCCCCGAAACAGAAGCCCCAAATCAGAAGGCCCAAAACAGAAGCCCCAAATAAGAAGCCCCGAATCAGAAGCCCCAAATCAGAAGCCCTGAAACAGAAGCCCCGAAACAGAAGCCCCAAATCAGAAGGCCCAAAACAGAAGACCCAAATCAGAAGCCCCGAAACAGAAGCCCCAAATCAGAAGACCCGAATCAGAAGCCCCAAAACAGAAGCCCCAAATCAGAAGCCCCAAAACAGAAGCCCCAAATAAGAAGCCCCAAATCTGAAGCCCCAAATCAGAAGGCCCAAAAATGAAGCCCCAAATCAGTAGCCCTAAATCAGAAGCCCCAAATCAGTAGCCCGAAAGCAGAAGCCCCAAATCAGTAGCCCTAAAAATAGAAGCCCCAGAACAGAAGCCCCAAATCAGAAGCCCCTGTAAGAGAAGCCCCAAATCAGAAGCCCCGAAACAGAAGCCCCAAATCTGAAGCCCCAAAACAGAAGGACCAAAACAGAAGCCTCAAAACAGAAGCCCCAAATCAGAAGCCCCGAAACAGAAGCCCCAAATCAGTAGCCCTAAATCAGAAGCCCCAAATCAGTAGCCCTAAAGCAGAAGCCCCAAATCAGTTGCCCTAAAAAAAATAGAAGCCCCAGAACAGAAGCCCCAAACCAGAAGCCCTGAAACAGAAGCCCCAAATCAGAAGCCCCAAATCAGAAGGCCCAAAACAGAAGCCCCAAATCAGAAGCCCCGAAACAGAAGCCCCAAATCAGAAGCCCCGAAACAGAAGCCCCAAAACAGAAGCCCCAAATCAGCAGCCCCAAAACAGAAGCCTCAAAACAGAAGCCCCAAATCAGTAGCCCCAAAAGAGAAGCCCCAAGTCAGTAGCCCTAACAATAGAAGCCCCATATCAGAAGCCCCAAATCAGAAGGCCTAAAACAGAAGCCCCAAATCAGAAGTCCTGAAACAGAAGCCCCAAATCAGAAGACCTGAAACAGAAGCCCCAAAACAGAAGCCCCAAATCAGAAGCCCTGAAACAGAAGCCCCAAATCAGAAGCCCCGAAACAGAAGCCCCAAATCTGAAGCCCCAAATCAGAAGGCCCAAAACAGAAGCCCCAAATCAGTAGCCCTAAATCAGAAGCCCCAAATCAGTAGCCCTGAAAATAGAAGCCCCAAAACAGAAGCCCCAAATCAGAAGCCCTGAAACAGAAGCCCCAAATCAGAAGCCCCGAAACAGAAGCCACAAAACAGAAGCCCCAAATCAGCAGCCCCAAAACAGAAGCCCCAAACAGAAGCCCCAAATCAGTAGCCCCAAAAGAGAAGCCCCAAATCAGTAGCCCTAACAACAGAAGCCCCATATCAGAAGCCCCAAATCAGAAGGCCTAAAACAGAAGCCCCAAATCAGAAGCCCCGAAACAGAAGCCCCAAATCAGAAGACCCGAAACAGAAGCCCCAAAACAGAACCCCCAAATCAGAAGCCCCGAAACAGAAGCCCCAAATCAGTAGCCCTAAATCAGAAGCCCCAAATCAGTAGCCCTAAAGCAGAAGCCCCAAATCAGTAGCCCTAAAAATAGAAGCCCCAGAACAGAAGCCCCAAACCAGAAGCCCCGAAACAGAAGCCCCAAATCAGAAGCCCCAAATCAGAAGCCCCAAATCAGAAGGCCCAAAACAGAAGCCCCAAATCAGAAGCCCCGAAACAGAAGCAAAAAATCAGAAGACCCGAAACAGAAGCCCCAAAACAGAAGCCCCAAATCAGAAGCCCCGAAACAGAAGCCCCAAATCAGTAGCCCTAAAGCAGAAGCCCCAAATCAGTAGCCCTAAAAATAGAAGCCCCAGAACAGAAGCCCCAAACCAGAAGCTCCGAAACAGAAGCCCCAAATCAGAAGGCCCAAAACAGAAGCCCCAAATCAGAAGCCCCGAAACAGAAGCCCCAAATCAGAAGCCCTGAAACAGAAGCCCCAAATCAGTAGCCCTAAAGCAGAAGCCCCAAATCAGTAGCCCTAAAAAAATAGAAGCCCCAGAACAGAAGCCCCAAACCAGAAGCCCTGAAACCGAAGCCCCAAAATCAGAAGCCCTGAAACAGAAGCCCCAAACCAGAAGCCCTGAAACAGAAGCCCCAAATCAGAAGCCCCGAAACAGAAGCCCCAAATCAGAAGCCCCAAATCAGAAGGCCCAAAACAGAAGCCCCAAATCAGAAGCCCCGAAACAGAAGCAAAAAATCAGAAGACCCGAAACAGAAGCCCCAAAAATAAAGCCCCAAATCAGAAGCCCCGAAACAGAAGCCCCAAATCAGTAGCCCTAAAGCAGAAGCCCCAAATCAGTAGCCCTAAAAATAGAAGCCCCAGAACAGAAGCCCCAAACCAGAAGCTCCGAAACAGAAGCCCCAAATCAGAAGGCCCAAAACAGAAGCCCCAAATCAGAAGCCCCGAAACAGAAGCCCCAAATCAGAAGCCCCGAAACAGAAGCCCCAAATCAGTAGCCCTAAAGCAGAAGCCCCAAATCAGTAGCCCTAAAAATAGAAGCCCCAGAACAGAAGCCCCAATCCAGAAGCCCCGAAACCGAAGCCCCAAATCAGAAGCCCCGAAACAGAAGCCCCAAACCAGAAGCCCCGAAACAGAAGCCCCAAATCAGAAGCCCCGAAACAGAAGCCCCAAATCAGAAGCCACAAATCAGAAGGCCCAAAACAGAAGCCCCAAATCAGAAGCCCCGAAACAGAAGCAAAAAATCAGAAGACCCGAAACAGAAGCCCCAAAACAGAAGCCCCAAATCAGAAGCCCCGAAACAGAAGCCCCAAATCAGTAGCCCTAATGCAGAAGCCCCAAATCAGTAGCCCTAAAAATAGAAGCCCCAGAACAGAAGCCCCAAACCAGAAGCCCCGAAACCGAAGCCCCAAATCAGAAGCCCCGAAACCGAAGCCCCAAATCAGAAGCCCCGAAACAGAAGCCCCAAATCAGAAGCCCCTAAACAGAAGCCCCAAATCAGAAGCCCCAAATCAGAAGGCCCAAAACAGAAGCCCCAAATCAGAAGCCCCGAAACAGAAGCCCCAAATCAGAAGACCCGAAACAGAAGCCCCAAATCAGAAGCCCCAAATCAGAAGGCCCAAAACAGAAGCCCCAAATCAGAAGACCCGAAACAGAAGCCCCAAATCAGAAGCCCCAAATCAGAAGGCCCAAAACAGAAGCCCCAAATCTGAAGCCCCAAAACAGAAGCCCCAAATCAGAAGCCCCAAATCAGAAGCGTCTCTATAAAATGAAAAACAGCGGATATGCGATTTGAAGATTCATACTAACTCAGCCATCGAGAAGAAGCCAGACTTGTAAACAAGACACTGTACGGGTCGTTGATTATGTCTTCAAATCACAGAATGAAATCGAAACAAACTGTATTATGAAAATACTATTACTTCGACTTGGAACTGATAAATATTAAATGCGCTGGTTAGCGTAGAAAACATAAAATATGACTGATTTATAAGCATAGAAATATTATGAATATCGGGATCTAGATTTTACAGGAAGAATTCACAATTTTCACAGCACAACGGCAATGATAACTATATATTTGCTGAAACATATAAGAGAGGTTTCAGGTGCCATTCTCTCAGAAAATTTACTCAACTTAGGAGAGAATAACAGTGTAAATGAATAAAGGTTTACGGTCTATTTTTACGTCTTCATAAAATGCGTTGTCCTTTAATTCACCTTCACAAGCCGAAATATAATTTTCCTTTTTTCTAATAACAATGGCGTCTCTTTTGTCTGCTATTTTGATTCGAAACTTCATTGTCGAGGCGATGAAGAATGTTACGTTGCCAAGTGTTAAAGTTATTTTCCGGTTTTACTAATGGTTAATTTTACGTTCAGCTTTATACCGGCCTGACAGATCTGAAACTTCCTCTGGATACCAGAATGGATTTTTATTAACCCTAACTCTGCCAGATTCGAACACTAACTTTTTTTTTTTGTCGCCGTTTGTAATACTTCTAGAATTTTTAACACCATTTTATGAAATTTCTTTAGCTTATTGAAATACACACTGAGCTAATTTGATTTTTATCAAAGATTCTATTACTTGGGTAAAATATTTAATCCAGACACTAGGACGGAAATCTCATCTGGCGAAATCTTCAGTTTTGATAAATTTATTACAGTCTTATTTCTCAGTGTGTTCGAAATTTTAAGGGGATTATTGGTAGGGAAATTATATTTTTAAAAAGAATATGGTCTTTAGAACTTCGATTTTTCTGGTATTCTTCAATGTGCACATGGTACTTGTTTCGTGCCAAAAATTATTGGAGCGGTTCCTGATATAAATTATGAAAAATTTTATTAATTCTTTTAGGAGTGCTATACAAATTCACATTCCAATGCACACGATGGCTCATTTAATTGTCGACTTTTGTTATCGCAATTGAATGCTTTTAAATTCGTCATAATGAATAACAGAAAGGTTCGGTTTGATCACACCAAAATGAAGCCGTATTTTCAAATTTTATATTGAAATAAGAGATTTGTTCCTTTCCTGAAAACTAAAATTTATCAAGTTCCAACATGTACAATAGAGATTATTAAATCCTTACCAATTACTTTAAAATGGGTCACTCCTTTCCCGGTTTGTTCGTGAAAGACAGTTAAAAGCTGTCATATACATATACCTCCCAGAAATATTTTCTTAAGAATTTTTTTTTTTTAATGTGGTGTATGAAAATTTTGCAGAGGGGTCAATATGTGAGGAAATCAATATAGAAAAAGATAAAAATATAGGTGAAGAAAAAATAGGAATAATTATTATAGTAATTATCACGGCCTAATTAGTGCATTTATCTTTTTTAAACAAATGTACAGGTTGTAGAATAATCATTCATTTGGTAAATATCGTGGAAGTTGTTTTAACGGAATCCATGACGTTACTACGATTTCGAGATATAGCAATGTCATTGCACACATCAAAAGAAAAGATAGAATTTCGAATGGTTCCTTCAAAAAAAAAGAAAGCCCCTCCGACTAAATTACTTTCGTGTGGCGTGGAGAGAATTTCGAATGGGTGATAAAAATTAAATTCATAATATTTTTTAATAAGTGGGTTTTTTGTTGTTCTTTGATACATTCTCTACAGCTTAACCAATTGCAAGTTATTTGAAGGCCGAAAATACGCTTAGATTGTATAAATTACTTTTTGAAATAGTATTGCGTTAGCAATATATGTGTTACTATTTAACCCAAAACTGAAGTAAGAAGAAATGTTCATACCTTTCCCAATGGTATTTGCTTGTAAGTGGACATAAAGAAACAAACGGGAATTGGTAATCGTTAGGTTAAATTGGAATTTTCGGAAAGTTGTTAGTAATCAGTCTCAAGCCAAAGTTCGCGAATCAGTCGCATAAATTTCGCCAAGAAACTAAATATGTTTACTCCGGGTTTTTCAAATTGAAATAGTTTGTCTTGACTTGATTTAAACTTGGATTTTATTGTAGTTTGACTATTAAACAGATTGACTTGATTTGAACTTGGATTTTATTTTATTTTGACTATGAAACAGATTGACTTGATTTGAAATTGGATTTTATTTTATTTTTACTATAAAACAGATTGTCTTGATTTGAACTTGGATTTAATTTTATTTTGACTATGAAATAGATTGACTTGATTTGAACTTGGATTTTATTTTATTTTGACTATGAAACAGATTGACTTGACTTGAACTTGGATTTTATTTTATTTTGACTGTGAAACATTTTGTCTTGATTTGAACTTGGATTTTATTTTATTTTGACTATGAAACACTTTGTCTTGATTTGAACTTGGATTTTATTTTATTTTGACTATGAAACAGTTTGATCTGATTTTCTCAATGTTTTCAGCTTCTTCTCTTTCTTTGAACTTAAAGAATAAATTTCTTTGTTATCGAAATTTCCTAGGCTGTCACATAAATGAATGAAAAGAGATTCAGACGAACAAATCTGCTCGAGTTGACTCTATTTTGTTTCCATTTTCGTATTGAGAATTAGCAATTTAGAATTGCATTGTTCGATAACAGCATCCACAACAAGGAAATAATTGTACTCTTCTATTTATATAAACATTTCACGGTGATGTTTAATGTCAAACCATCAGCGACAATCTTTAGGCATCTGCAGACATATAGAAAAAGCTGGTGAATTTTTATTTCAGCGCACAAACGCTTCAGTTGCTTGATGGAAAGAAACACAGATTTGTCACATCAAAAGTAATCGGCTTTGGGTCTAGGGTTTCGTTCAAAGCTGGTGTCAATTAAAACTAAAAGGGCTGACAAAACCATAGCGAACAGGATCCTGAAGCAAAATTCGAAATTAATGTTGGTACTTTCTTTCAAAGAACAATCGGTTCGATTTCCACTAGAAATATGTGACCCCAATAAACGGTGTAAAATTTTGTCCACCATGATCTCAATCTAATTCAGATAAACAGAATGATTGACGTAACTTTTACAATATTTTTTAACACTTAGATATGAGCGCGATTTAAGAAAATAAAAACGAAAGAAAACACAGTGTTTGACAATGTTAAACAATATGTCAACAGCATGTTTTTCTTATTCACATTATGTTTAAATTTGTATGCAAGTATAAAAACATAAAAAATTCTATAAAAGATTTTATATCCTTGTATAAACTAGTTTGTAATGAGACAACGGCTGTACTGGTAATCAACGTGTCAAAATATGAAACACCGCCAGATCACATCAAAACGAATGAGACGTGAGTAAAAGGAGAACGAATGAGCTCATCTTCGAATTTTACGTTATTTTATTAGCTACTAAGAGAAGTTAATCAAACAGCTTAGCATAAATCTTATGAAACTCTCCTGTCATTTTGTTCATTTTCCCGGGTCGGGTAGTTAGTAGTTTGTATACGTAAATATCTTCATCTGTTTTATGTGATAAGTCGGTAGATTCCGATTTTTTCATAATGAACAACTTGAGATGTTAGTCGAAATTAAAGTCGTTTGTAATAAAATGTTCCACAAGCTCAGCTGAGGTCACATTATTGTGCCGAATATCATAGATATGGGCATTAAATCTTTTATTTACTTTTTTCCATTGAACAACGCACATAGATCAAGCAATGTTTGGTATAGTAGGCAGCGTATATTAAAGAGGGAAATTAAATAAGTTTCCGTGGACACAGTAAATGATGTCCGACACAACAATGTGACATCAATGCGCAACATTTTCTTACAAATAATTGTAATTTCGATGGACAACTTAAGATGCACATTCCGAAAAAAATATTCAGTATGTACCAGCCAAGCGACGCTTAAAGCACATAAATATAGTTACATATGCAAGCTATTAACTTTTCGGCACGTGGGAATGGACATAATCATGCTACACACGTTTCAGTTCCATAACATTCACGCTGGCCCCGTTGAATTCGTTTTGGCGCGTTGGTTACAATTACAACCGTTCTCTTAACATACGCGACCTTTGAAAGAAGACTTACAAAATTTTGTAAATTATCATATCTTTATACATGCATGACATTTTTAGACATAACTTGCTGAAGACGTAATATTGAAATATTACTGAACATTGTCAAATCCCTTGGTATTTACTTATATTTTCTTCAATCGCGCTCTTCTTTATGTTTCGATAATAATAATAATAATAATAATAATAATGATAATTCCGAGTTTTAGAAAATTTAGAATAGGATTGTAAAATACAATGATTTTCAAATGGAAATCTAAAAAAAAATATGGCACATGAGGACAGCAATTAAAACCTATAATTATTCAAAGGACGAATCAGAATTTTCATAAATATAAAGATTTAAGTAGACTAATTGAAAAGATTCCTGGAATCCCATGCTTTAAAGAAATACAAAAGAAATTGTTCTCACGAGTACAGCCCACACGTTACGAAGACCTTTATCTATGTATTTTTTTTATTTTTATTTGGTCTGTTGAAAATGTCATTATGTCATTTCTAACCTTAGGTCGCTGGGCGGGACCCGGAAAAATGAGTACACACCAGAAATCAAAGGAAATAATAATAATAATAATAATAATAATAGTAATAACAATTCCGAGTTTTAAAAGATCTAAAAATCTAAAAATATGTGGCATATGAGGACAACAATTAAAAACTAGAAAATGTTCAAAGGAAGAATAGGAATTTGCATAAATATTGTAGACCTCTAGAAAAATCCCGTTCTTTGTTCTGGGTGGATTCTTAAAAATTAGTGCGGTGTGAAAAGCTTTTTGACATC